CTTTAAGCTCTCCTTCGCACCTGTGAACAATGTTGTTTTTTTACCTCCCCCCCAATCCCTGTTCACCCATCCATTTAAACAAGATCGATAGATAGATTACTCGCCGCTTTCTTTCATCCTTCATACGTCCTGAGTATATCAAATTCGCCAATCCGTCTTTCCTAATTATGTATCTTAGAGATATAAGCGTCCATTTGGCTTCTATTTCCTTAAAACTTCTTCTTTGCACATATGCACCGTCCATGGTATTCTCGGCATTCTTCTCTAGAAGCACATCTTTTTTACCTATCGTCTTGATTTCCCCTGTAAGGAAAGTGTCCGGCAAACATTGCCATGCAGAAGCATTGATATCATGAGGCAGTTCAGCACTCTTCTCTTTGTTTCTAATATATGACATTTACCTGTTTATTAATATTTTGCTTAGTTTTTGGAAGGCTTCTTTTGCTATTCAGGTGAACCTTCAGATTTCTGTGCCACATTTTCTGTCATCTGTTGAAATAATTTCAGGGCATTTAAACTTCTGTACTTGCCCGATTTTGACATCTCCAATTCAAAGCTCTCATCATGGGCTTTTTCTCTTGCAGACAATACATTCTCTCTTTTTGCAGTTGACAGAGAGAAGCTATTTTCTGTACTCCTTTATTAACATGTCGAAGAGATTTCTTTCTGTGCCTGCAATCAAAAGTGACATCTGCGTATCTTATCTTGTAAATACGCACCGATATAAAATACTGTTAGGATTTCCAGCTTCCTTACCTGGACCTTTAAAATGATGTTTCGCGAATGCACTGCAAGCATTATGCAAAGGTAGGTATACAGTAAGCATTATACCATGTTTGTAACCTGTAAAGGTCGTGTCGTACAAGAGAAACAGAGAAAGAGTCCGATTGGAAGTAAATATATACATATGTATACGTATCTGTGTATGCATGTATCCAAATGTAGTAGCTGTCAATTGGCCACGTATGTTTGTTTTCAATCTAACAAGGACGGTGTAGGTGTTTCAAATAGTCGTGTTAATGTCGTTATCATAGAAATCTATATCTAGTTGGCACATTTTGTGCGTACGTTTTGTATTTTTACTGTATATCTACTTTTGCGTCCTTGTATCATTATTATTGAGAGAGCCGCACACCTGCAAAGTGATGCTAGGGTACATCTACACAAAACCCAATATACCCTTCATAACACCCCTGCTAATAAGGGACATTGTATCACAGACAAATGTGCTCAAAACAGTGGCGTTCAGTTAGAAATACCTTCAAACCGGGTAATCCAGTCCACACCGGACGTTCTCCAATTGGAAGTGGTTTCCAAGTAACTACATGTAACTTTGGAGTCTCCTTGACTGTCGTGCATTTCGAATAAGGTGATAGAAAAATATCCTCTCAAAACCTGAGCCTGATGCATTCCTACTATTTTCTATCATGAACAGAAATGCACAGGGCGATAATCCTCTGGGGATATACCCGATTTATATTATTATTATTATTATGAATAGCACGTGAGTCTTAAGATGATGAGCTTTCAGGAAACCCATAGACATACCACCAGAAAATATCAAAGACATTGGGGTTTCATCTGTGAGGACCGTCGCGAAAAATATATCAGCTCTCTCGCAAGAATCCCAGTATTTAAAGAGTCTGTCAGGAAATCTTTATTTTGCTCTTCTGATATTGTATATGTTGCTTGTAATAACAAAAACGTAAGAGAGAAAAAAATAAAAATAAAGACGTTCAGGTATTTATCGAAAACAATGATTTCTAATTTTTGAGTTGACCCGTCTGCAGATGCCCGCTGAATCGAATTTCACTAACATTGTAGGTAAAACAGTGACATGGTTTTCAGAGACTTCAAAATCGCTTCGTACGCAGCAATTGTCTCTCAGGCTTTTATTATTACGATGTCTCCGACTGAAGTACTGCGATGAGCAGTTAACATAATTTAGATGATTTACACTCGAGATAGTCCCATAAATATCCGAGTGGATAAAGCGTTGGTTGTGGAAATTGTATTGTGAATCCAAATCCAGGGCCGTATAATACAGAAATAATCTCGGTGGAAATAGGTTCAACTGAGCTTTAAAAAATGGGAACTGGATAATATGCTATTTGGAAATAATCTCAGTGGAAAGAGGTTGAAGAACAACTGAGCTATAATAAATAAGAACTAGACAATATGCTCTTTCGATATAATATCGGTGGAAAGAGGTTGAACAAAACTCAGCTGTAATAAATAGGAACTGGACAACGTGCCATTTGGAAAAAAAATCTCGTTGGAAACAGTTTGAACGGCAACTGAGCTGTAATAAATAGGAACTGTACAATATGCCCTTTGGAAATAATCTTGGTTGAAAGAGTTTGAACAACAACTGAGGTATAATAAATAGGAACTGGACAATATGCCCTTTGGAAATAATTTCGGTTGAAAGAGTATTAAACAGCAACTGGGCTATAATAAATAGGAACTTGACAGTATGCCCTTTGATATGAACACTAAAATGAGAATAATCTCCCGTCGTAGATTAGATAAAGTTTTCTGTGAGAAATTCCGTAAAGATTATCCGAATAGTTCGGCAAGAGCCATGTGAAGACCTAGATTTTATTAATTTACTTATTGACTCCTTGGCATTCTATAACCTTCTTCAGTCTTCCAACAATTAATTTTCCTAACTTTTCTATTGTTTTCATGTTTACCATTACCCGCAGCTGCTTCTCTTGCTTGAAGTAAAAGCAGGTCATTGTTAGTTCGAAGCTAAGTGCATGCTTCCTATTGTGCCAGACGAAAGAAAGGAAAGAAAAAAGAAAGGACAGCAAATAGGAAAGAAAGAAAGAAAGAAAGAAAGAAAGAAAGAAAGAAGAAAAGCCACCTAATGAAAAGAAAGAAAGAGGGAAAAACACCAAAAGGAAAGAAAGAAAGAAAGAAAGAAAGAAAGAAAGAAAGAAAGAAAGAACAGCAAAACGGAAAGAAAGAAAGAGGAAAAACAACAAAATGGAAAGACAGCAAAAAGGAAAGAAAGAAAGGAAAGCAAAAAAGAAAGAAAGAGAGAAAGAAAGAAAAGACACTAAAATGAAAGAAAGAAAGAGGGAAGGACACCAAAAAGAAAAGAAAAGAAAAGAAAAGAAAGAAAGAAAGAAAGAAAGGAAATCGGAAAGGAAGAAAGAAGACATGAGAGCAAAAGGAATGGAAGAAAGAATAAAAGACAGAAAAAAGAAGGAAAGAAAGGAAGAAGAGAAGGCTGCAAAAGGGAAAGAAAGAAAGAAAGAAAGAAAGAAAGAATAAAAGGTAGTAAAAAGAAAAATGAAAGATAAATCACTGAGTGAAAGGAAAGAAAAATAAAAGAGAACAAATGAAAAAGGACTGAGAAAAGCAAGAGAACAGAAAGGAAGCAGGAAGATGGTGATAGGAAAAATGATGACAAGAAAGACAAATAGAAGACAGAATGGGAAAAAAGAAAAAAAAGATAAGGAAAAAAACTGAATAGTGGAAAAAAAGGAAAAAAACAGAGAAGAGAAACGAAGAAAGATGGGGAAATGAAAAGAGAGTAGAAGAAAAAAGTAAAAAGAAAAATCAGACGCAAAACAAAGAAAGCTGGAAAAGGGAAAAACTTCAGAAGAGGAAGAAAGAGAAAGAAGGAAAACGTCAGAAAGAAAGTGAAAGGATGAAAGAGCACAAAAGAAATGAAGAAAAGAGGAAAAACTGGCGAAAGAAACGAGAAAATAAATAGGAAGGAAAAGGGGAAAGAAAACGAAACAAAAGAACGAAACCTGCAAAAAGAAAAGAAAAACACAAAATCCAACGAGGAAAGGATAAGCAATAAATGGGAGAAGGGAAAGAGGTTGAAGAGATAAAAAAATAAAGAAAGGAAAGGAAAGTAGAAATGCAGTGAAAATGGAAGCCCAAACAAAGATGCCATTTCAAGATATTGCAACCTTGAAGAGTACAAATGCAAATTAATAATAATAATAATAATAATAATAATAATAATAATAATAATTACAAAACTAAGAAAATTAAATTCAAAATATAAAACACCGGCTATCTTAAATTTCATCAAGAAATCGCAAATAAATAAATAAATAAAATAAAGTTTTTTTTTCAGGTTTCACAGTAAAGTAATAATTTAGTTACTGATTAGATTATAAAAGTCTTCATTTTTGCATTAAGAAAATTTAGTTTCGTTTTTACATCACAGATTTAGGTATATATTATTTTAGGTGATTCTTTCTAGAGTTGAATTCGCGCTACCATTGAACACATTAAGTCAACACTCCATTTGACTCTGCTCCATTTCAAATGTCCCGTTCAGCCTTTTAATCCGTGGAAGATAATAAATGCTTGTGAATAATGATATAATGATTTTGCAGGCGAGAATCTACATTGTTATTATGTTTTAACATTTCGACCGGAATAATCTCCAGTTGTCGTTAATATATTCAGAGCGACTGCCGTAAACCGATGGTTAAGCTAGCATCAGAGTTTCTACAACATTTGACTCTTACCGAGACATTCATTATAGGGATTCTTAATTAAACTAAGCTAAGAAAATAAAAAGGTGTTTGACACAGAGCAGTAGAAAATTAACCTCATAAAGCGTTGGTAGCTCATCTCCTGTGCTTTATCTGTACTTTTAAAGCTTAGTAAATATCTACATCTAAAGAAATTAGCTTATTCTATATGCGTTTACACAAGGTTATACAGTTTAGACACCCAACACGTTACCTTACTAATAATTTGTAAGGCTAATTTACTAGTGTTGTAACCTAGGGAAGGGTACTGAATAGAATAATCACACGAAGGTTGTGATTATTCTATTCAGAATAGATAATACTTGGGGCAAGAACAACACATATAAGATTCACCATCGGTGTGTAGAAATAATAGTCAACTGCTTGAAGTGAGTCAAGTGAATTCCACAATGAATCTCCAGGATATCTACCAACAGTCCCAAGCGGTCAGATGTGGCACAAGGCCGAATTTAATGTGGGGTATACGAGACCGTGACTCGGCCATAAATTCCCCGTAGACCCCGTATAAAACGGGGTCGGGTAGCTGTTTCCCGGAACGGGACTCTTCCCTTCAACATAACCTCGTCTGGGGATCCTCCCTGCCCGGAGGCAGAGACTTTGACCAGCACAGCTGGAGACGAATCTCCGACTGCAGGATATCTACCAACCGCCTTACGCGGTCAGATGTGGTAAAAGGCCGAATTTAATGTGGGGTATTCGAGCCCGTGGATCGGCCATAAATTCCCCGTAGACCCCGTATAAAACGGAGTCGGGTAGCTGTTTCTCGAGACGAGACTTTTCCCTTCGACATACCTTCGTCTGGGGATCCTCTCTGCACGGAGGCAGAGAGTTTGACCAGCACAGCTGGAGACGAATCTCCAACTGCAGACCACGTACTGTATTCTCTACTGTATTTATGGGAATGGGGGCTTGCTCATTATCGTCTGTAGGTTTGTTACAAGAGCTAGCCAGGGCGAGATCTCCTATGCAATTTTTTTAAATATCATGTCTTTTCAGAACGTAGGCGATCATGGATCTCCACAGGTTCCTTTTTGTTTTATCTGTGAATTACCATGACTTCTTGGTAGAGCTAGGCGGAAACAGCAAACCACACCATCTTCCCCTTTAGAATTCATGGCAATTTTTAGTCTATAGATGTAAAAAAAGGAAGGCGTGGAGAGTCATGTCACCTACGCCGAGAACGTCTATAGCAGAGTGAAAACATTGGTTCTCGTTGCTTTCCCCACAGTTTGGAATTCACAGTAGTCCTTGTTTTCGAATGGCTGTTATCAAAGTCCAGAGAGCACAGTGTACACTGTTAGGGTAGAAAAAGGTTCAAGCCTTCCACAGGTATATAGCGAATGGGAACAGAATGAATTAGGAAGGAACTTGAACTCGGTTCGTCGATTACACTTTCCGCGACTCTAACCGTTACACTCACTGTACCCTCCACCAACCTGACAATGCAAAATGAAATCTTTACTCTCAGATGCGTAGACATGCCAATTTTTTATTCTAAATCAGGATTAAATCATCATCATCATCAATCTCATAACAAGACGTGGCACAAGGAACTTGGACCATAACACATTAATGACGATACATGAAAATTTGGGCATATTTTCTCCGTTTTTTCTTTGAATAATTTTGTATGTTTCTAAACTTGATGCATTGTTACTTTTAGAGTTTAACATTCGTAAAGTTTATTTTTTAATTACATAATAAATTGGGGATTAGTCAGTTATCTTGATTTCCTAAATTTATAATCAATTCATTCAAAGGAAACGGATAACGCGACTAAGACACAAGGGGCTACTGGAAGTGAAAGCGAAGGAAAAGTCTTTAGGCAAAAACTAATCCTAAACAAGAAATTGTACAAAACACAATTTCTCATTGTTCTAAAGGTCACTTTATTTGCTGTACATGGAAAGAGAGAAAACTGAAAGTGTTAGAAAGCTGTGTACAAAAACTTGCTGCAATCAAAATCTTATTATAAATATCGAAAATCATTCAGTGTTTTTTCCAGATCTTATTATTATCTCTCTCTCTCTCTCTCTCTCTCTCTCTCTATATATATATATATATATATATATATATATATATATATATATATATATATATAATTAACAAATCGGAGACTTCAGAAGGTAATATTTTATTTCGTGAGACCGATAAAATTCGATTTCGCTTACTCAGACCTTGAGGTTTCAAAACAATGAATGGATTAAAAAAATTCTTCCGGGAATCAACCGAAAAGCGAAATGAAAAACAAGATTAGCGGAATTTGTGTTTTAAGATAGTTGCACAGAATAGGAAGGGAAGGAGGCAGGTATTTGTCTCTAGGAGATGCGATGGTTGTAGCGTTGACCTCTTATTCACCGGGCAAGAAAAAGGAATAAAGAAAGAGGGAGAAGCAGGGAAAAGAAGAGAGGAAGGGAGAAACCGGAGAGTGTACACAAATCCCTATACCTACATACACACTGATTTTTCTATATACACTTATAATTACATATACCGATATATGCCTACATCCATACACACATTCGCATACATCTACACATATAAGTGTTCACGTAAAACTGTTCACTCATACGTATGCATATACACACATATTCACCCATACTCGCATATTTATCTATTTGCATTCATAAACACTTATGCACATATTTGACTAGTACATTTCTAAATCAGTACTTAGATAACATGTAAGATATCCTCAGTTTCATTACTAATCGTGTAGCTGTAAAGGGACACTTAAGAGTGTTTTCCATCAAGTGACGCCAGATATATACCCAAAGCGTAATCTTTGCACCTATTTATGCGAGAATACAACATCTCGCACACGAATACACACCTGTGCCTATTTACACAGACGGGTGCACACATGTTTACATACACAAAAACTATGGCCCATCACAGAAACAAAAGCAAAGAAGTACAATAGTAGGCCTGTGCATACTCGTACATGAAGAAAAGAGATATGTGAGCGTTAGATGCTCTGGTAAGAGGGGTTTCGTAAGGTGAGGTCACATGTGATGAAAGGAGGGGGATTTACATGAAGGGACATAGGTGGGAATTCTGCACACACACACACACACACACACACATATATATTACGCTAAAATGAAAATAACGCTGATATCACATTTTAAAAGATATATTTACCAAAATTACACAAAAAATATTTTGAAACACTAAATTGTAAATTTATTCAATAAAATCGCCATTGGCTTCAACCACAGAATCTAGACGACTTCGGAATCTTCTGCAATTCTTCTTGACGGTTTCCTTGTTTAAGTTGGTGAATGCTGTCATAATCCTTGTCTTCAGTTCATCTTTGGTGTTACAAGGAATTTTGTTTGTCTCTTTCTCAACCGTGCCCCACGCATAATAATCAAGAGGGTTGCAGTCTAGGGAGTTAGAGGACCAGATATAAGGGTGATGTGGTTTCAGAAATTGTCTGGCAGCTATGACTGGGTCCTCCTGTTTGTGTGGAATGGTGCAGAGTTTTGTTGCTAGACTCTGGGTCTTCCAGGAGCCACCGTCTTGATCCAGGAAAATACTATCGCCTCAAGGCACTTGCCGTAAGCCTCCGTGTTGAGTCTGAGGATCTCACCAACAAATTCAGGAGTTCTTTTCTTAACAGAACGACCAGTGCGAATTGTCGAGCTACCATACCTTCGTAATCACTATTAGAATCATCCAGTCCTCTGCATTATCCTTAAATTGGCATCCAAACACTCTGAAATGTTCGTATGCCAAGCAGTACCGCATTAATTGCGTCATGGTATTCTTTTTCTCACAGAACAACTGACCCTACTCCACTCTGCAGAAGACAAAATCAAAAACAAACAACGTGCAAGCGTGAAATAAAAAATATAAAATGCTGACAATTTATCCGTCGCACCCAATAAATATAATGCTGTTGTTAATAAAACAGTGCTCGATGTAATAAAACTATTGAGCATATATTAATAAATATATATATTTCCCTCACAATTAGCACGACACGGAGTTTCATGCACAACACAATCTTCAGGTGCTGAGTATAGACTGTCCATTGCATAATTTAAATTCTAATAAAAATATCTGATTATCGCTTTTATGCATTATACTGGGATTATAGTTTTTAATTTAAAAAATATATATTTGGCATTTAAAATAAACAAGATAATTATATATATATATATATATATGTGTGTGTGTGTGTGTGTGTGTGTGTGTGTGTGTGTGTGTGTAAAAAAACAAAAACTTCTTTTATAGTTGTGAATATTAATTTTTATATCAAGCATAAAGTGAGATTATTGGTTCTTTAAAAAACATAATTTACAATGAAAATTTATCTGGATCAACGTATTTGAGCAGATATTTATTTTTATGCCTACATGTAAACATGAATTCATTTCTCTTGTTTATTAAGATTGGGTTATTTAAGTGTTTTAAAATAAGCCATTTCTCAACAAGACATAAATTACATTTATTGCCTTTCCCATTGTAAGATTTAGGTTTGCTACAATATCCCACGTATTAATCGGTGTATTACCAATATTCTATAATTGCCAGAACTTTTTAGAGAGAGCAGTGCAGATTTTGTATTTTATATTGCCTATAATCATGGCAGAAACTTAATTCCCAAGGATTTTCAGTAGAAACAAAATAAAATTTTACATCGTTACCAGAATGTATGCTAGCTCGTTATATAATATTATCAGTCATACATTGACCGCTTAAGTGACAGATCCTGTTTTTTCGGCAGTTGCATTTATTTTTTTAAAAGATTAACTCGTTGGGCATGTATTTGTTTATGTTGGGATATAGATTTATCGATGTTACTAATGCAGAGAAGTTAGATTACGGCGGTGAGAAAGGGACTGAAGCCGAGATGCCAGGTCAGGAGTAATAATAATGCAGATTCTTTTGATCTTATCACGTCTGTAATAAGTAAGATTTTACGGAGTATAGCTCCTAGCCCAAGACCCAACAGTTTTTAGGATTCAGTGTT